GATCCATGTGTGGTTCCAATAGGGTGACTGTTGCCGTTCATAAAGATATGTTGTCCAGCCACGGGCCATACCTCACTATGTGAAACCATGTCCAAATTGCGTGAAGATTTAAAAAAAATCTAAGAAAATTCTAGAACAAATTCTTATCAATGATTTTGATAAGAAACAGAAGACAGCAAATACGGTTCTGACGTCACGGGAGTCTGTTTTGTGTCGTTCAAAAGCGATCGGTTGTCTAATTTCGGATTTAATCGCATGCCTTGCCACTAAAAGTAATAACTAATAATGCACAAATACGCAATCCTCGTTATGCAAACACCCGATACCAACGCACCTTATAGCAATTCAAGTATTGTGCCCGCGTCTACTGATTACAATTTGGTGATTCTGATTATTGGTATCTATTGATATCTTGAAATTTTAGTAAAAATGCACAGGTACTACTGGACAAAAGTTTGCATATTTTCAGTTCGACGTGACTCCCTTCACCCTGTCGGTATCGTGTTCTATTACTATAATTGATTTAAACACGCGCCCTCTGCACTTATTAAAATGGGTTATCATATACCTTCACCAATCCGCTTTTTTATGAATTTCGTTTTAGGGTAGTATAACAAAACCTGATATTATTATTATTAAACTTGCGCTAAATTGACTATAAAGAAAATACCATTGCAATCCCTATGCTGCGTCGCGCTAGGAACCACCCTGTATATAGCAGCTAGTGCTCCCCTAATTATTTTAGAGCAATGTATTACTTATAATTTTCCGTCGCACTGTAACGGTCCTAGTGGTTACAAGTTACCCTTTGCCTCTTCGTGACCTAAGAACCTCTAAAACCTCCCTTCTACACAACTTCCTGTCGTCAAGACAACCTATGTATGTTGGGTTGCCTACGTTCAGGAAGACAGAGAGCTGTTCTGGGTAGCTCTATCGGAGATCCAGGTAACCACATTAATTAACTAAAGCTTGATAGAATACAAGTAATATAATGATTAGAAATATATGTACACAAATTAACTATTTACAATTGTACAGAAACTAAATTATATGGCTGAATGCGACTTAACTGGAAACGTTGACAGAATGGGTGCTTGGCTACTCTAACCAGGGAACAGGACTGTGGTACTTAGGATCAGAGCAAAGATTCTAAGACCCCCTTTCTGGTTCGGTTTCTCCTTGTACAGTGTTTGAAAGGAAGTGGGATTAACGGCGATAATAATTTTGCTGGTGGGAATGTCAACAAACATGACGTCTCCGAAACTACCGCCCTCTCTTGATAGATTTAGAATTTAGATTAATTCCAGATTTCTATAGGAGTCAAATTACGAATTAATCACATTAAATTTTACATCTTTACAACACAATGAAACAAAATTAAAACAAAATCCCTAAAAGAAAGAAGAGCTTACAAGGTTTGTTTCGACATACCACTTTTACCTTTTAATAAGAAGAGAACCTCAACAATAGGTCGCACTGTATTCTGTATTCATAAATAATCTCCATTTACTCAACTTTCTTTTGTTTTAGGACCTGAGTAAACACTGACCCGCACAAAGGTTAATTGAATCCAACAGCTCTCTCCCTATAAGCGTTTATTATTTGCATGAACCTTGGTGCTAAAGCTCTTAGATAATATTACATATGATTCTCCTCGTCCTATCTTCGAACCTAAGTTGTCGACGTAGTAAAACAAAAACTCCTCATTGACTAAAACTTCTAGTTAGTTAACGTTAAATAAATTACGGTATCGGTAAACGGTGTCGATTAACAATGGTTCCGAACGCAAAGTAGTAAATTGACCAAAAAAAGAAAAAGAAATCCTGAAAAGAAAAAGAGATAATGGCGTACGTTTTGCATTTCCTATACGAGTATTTGAATTAACGAATAACAGCTCTCGACTTGTCTTCTTTGACATATTTTTTTATAGGTGGTGGTTTCATCTATACAAAACAGCCGTTCTGACTTTCGATAAAAGATAACGCGAAATGCCTTACTTGATTATCTACGGCAAAATTCCTCATGGAATTATAGAAACAACTCGTTGTCAATCTCAGCGTTTAATTTCCGTACAATTATCTGATAAAAGACCACTTTCGTATATAATTATTAATGTCACCATAATTAAGCCGTAGAAATACAACTCATATGTGCGTCAGTAGAACCTAGCGTCTATCCCCTCCACTTTTTGTCACTTCACAAGATTTTGACCTCGGATATTGGACCAAGGTATGGTATTTTATGCTGCAATCTATGAGATGAGTGCGCACAAAGCAAAAGCAAAGCACGCAATAAATAAATAAGATGAGAAAAAAATTGAAAAACCCTAAGCTACTCTTAAAAAATGACAAATCATGCATTTTAAATTTACTACAATTCAAATTTTATCTTTTTTTTTATTTTTTTTTTTTCATTTTTAAGAATGACTTAGGTTTACCAATACAGCATCTTTCTCTCATTTTATTTATTGAACGCTTTTGCTTTTACTTTGTTCGCTATCATCTCATATATTACAATAATAGTGCACCATAAAAACAAGGTCACGCCTTAGTTACGGCACCAAGACTTGGTCCATAAACATAAGATCCTAAAGTAGGTACTTTTTTTTATATAGACCACCCTATAGTTTTTGAAAAGAGTGTAAAATTTCTTCAATTTTGATGTATCACTTGTAATATTTATACTAAATAATATTTACAATATATTTTATGAATTAAAAAATTTATATTCCAAAAATCTAGGTATCCATGGCGAACAAAAGATTTCACGATGATTTGAACCGACTGGTTATCTGGAAATTTTTGTTAGTTTCAAATATTTTCAATTTCAAATAACACAGAAAAAACTTTTGTGAGAAATCCGATACAACTGAATACCTTCACGCATCAATCATTTTTACAACACACCTAAAGGGGTTGACTCTGTCCCACCAGATCAGCATAACTTGTAAAACAAATTTTTTAATTTGGTATTAGTTTTACTTTTACTCGAGATACCTACATACAAAATTTCATTTAATTATCTTAAGAAGTAAAAAATTAAACTGCGCAAAATAGCTTTTTTGATGCGGCAGTAGTTTTATTCGAGGTTCTCACATACAAAATTTACCGAAATATGTTAAGAATTATTGGACTGCGCATGCGCAAACAAAATTGTTTGATCGACATAAGTTTTATTTTTATTTGAGGTAACTGTGTATAAAATTGCATTTGAATCTCTTAACAAATCAAAAACTCGAAGTGTGCATGTGTAAAATTTTTTGATTCGGTAGTTTTACTTTTATTCTAAGCGTCTACATACAAAATTTCATTTAAATAACTCAACAAACAAAAAAATTGGGATTGCGCAAATACAAAAGTTGGGTTGCGCATGCGCAATTTTTTTTATTTATCTGCATAGTTGCTTAATGTTTAATTAATATTTACTAACACGGGAAACCGGACATTCATATGATCTTTGCAACAGAAATTGCCTGTTGAGGGCCCAGAACAAGAGAGGGATAATAAATAAATAAATAAAAGATGAACCCTTTTTTTTTAAACAATAGCAACCCTTCTCATATCCTGAAGAATATGTGCATTAATTTTCAAAGCGAACAGACGTTTCTACATAAAGTTATCGTGCATACGGGCGGCAGACGGACAGACAGCAATACAAAATTATAAACGATCTCGAGGATCGTTAATAAAACAAATAAGTATTATAAATTACATCACAAACGTAACAAGATAATTATTACCTATCTACATATACTCAGATAAATAGTAACAATAAGAGGAAACTGAAAAGAATTCTGTAATAAAAATATTTTAAAGTATAAAATGTAATATTGCAAATAATATTTAATATAAATATATCAAGTGATACTCAAAATTTAAGAAATTTTATGCTCTCTTAGAAACCTCCAAAATAGATAGGGTGGTCGTATGACAAAATGCAATTTAGAGTCATATCAAGAAAACAAACACCCTGTATAGAACCTGTGTTTCGAGAAGATTTTACCAAAATCAATCTTCAATAACAAAAAAGTTATGGGGCATTAAAGAAATCGATTAAATTCGATAAAATATATGGTCACGTTTACAATTGTGCAAGATTACCACTTCGTCAGATAGGAAACCCTTGAATAATTTATTGATGGTAGGTATATTTTATTAATCCAAGAAAATCCAAAATTATTTATTAAACTTGTTATATTGTGTTTCAAATTCCCTTTCCCAACTGGGTATCCTATACTTGTGGTGAGAAAAATACAGTTACTTAAAGGTGAAAATAGTAACATTTGACAAAAATATTTTTAATTCATAATTAACGCGGAACCGATACGTATAAATGAATATCAATTATCATGCGAGTCAATCGACTTGTGTTTTATTTATTTGTGTAAGATACCTTTTTTCTATTATTAGCATAAGTCCATAACAATAATTACGCAAAACTAGGGAATAACCATCGCAAACGTGAATTATTCTTAAAGTTTATGTAAATCAGATATCGCTCTCTATTTCTATACACGAGAAGGCAATGAATCTGCAAAGATCCCAGGTATCCTTGTGTAATAAAAAACACGAGATTTCTCTGCAATTAATATTAATGTAATCATTTTATTTGTCTCATTTATTTCTTTTGAATATTTAACGGCTGGTTTCCCGACCTTATTACCTTTGCGTGAATTTTCTGCCGTGAGTCACCAAAACATTAATAACAGGATGGATTTTATCTTCTTACCATAGACGTTTTACGTCTCTTGTAGAGGTATTACGGCGTCTAATTGTGGGGTGGGGTTGGAATCTCCTTGTCCGATTTTTCCCTGCTCCTTACGTAAAGTATTTACTTTGTAGATATTCCGTTGTTTTTCCTAACAGTTAATCTAATAAATTATGCTGCGGTTTGTAAATTTTATTTCCGCAAATAGCACCACGTTGTTCCTAGAAAAGGTAATGATACGAACAAAGTTAGATTTCTTTCTCTTTCGTTTATTCAAATTGTACAATCGTCATAAGAACATTTTAAGCTTGAGCTAATACTATCAATTGATTTACAAGGATCGAATCCTTAGAAAATTATCACATCACGACATTAAGGAATACAAAAATGACTGTACTCAAGCTTTACAGTACTTACTTAATGTCTACAGTCGGTTAAAGCTTGCCTTAAGGCAGGGTAAATAAGTGAATAAATTACTTAAATAATAAATAAATTAAATAAATACTTAGTTTACGTAAATATCACAGGTAAAGGCAGACACATCACCAAAGCGTTTTTCTGGTGCTGTGTACGAGGAACAAATTTTTCTCCGGTTAACAGTTACTCCACATAACCGTGCAATAAGGCCGATCACTTTGTTTTACAAATACTGTTGTAGGAGATCATTTGACTTAATTAAACTAACACGATTTATCACCACTGTCTTATCAACTGGCACTGTCTTTAGTTGTCTTCTTACGAGGTTTTATGCTGTTGTTCTTCCTGCGATTCGCCTTCTTCTTTTGCCCGCCAAAAATTCTGGCTCGACTTTTTTTTAAGAATTTTAAGTAGTTTTCGAGAATGCTGTAATCTTGTATTAAACCCTCGGTTAAATGGTGCACAACTTCGGGTATGGTTCCATCCGCTAAATGTGGGTCCACGGTTTTCACGATTGTTTGACGTTTTGCTGTGATTTCGTCTTCGGTATCGCAACGAAGCGCATCTAGGTCTCTTTTCACAAGTTGCATAGCGGACGCCCGTTGAGCGGCGTCAAACGTGGAATCCTGGGTTTGTATGTCCATGCTTGACAGCCTCTCGATGGTCACCGCGAAAGTTTGTAACTGATATAACAGTTCGGGAAGAATCTGTAAAGTTATTGTTAGTAAACTATTCTGTTGGGTAACGCTGCCAGCTTACCTTTACGTTATCCCTTCTTAGTGATTGGTAGAACTTTTTTCGTGGAAGCCACTTGTGTTTACTAAATTGTTCTTTTATGAATCCGATCTGGAATAGAAAAGGTTGTTAACTGATGAAACGAAGCTGATCTGTTTTCATTACCTTTTTATGAATTTGTTTAACGTAGGGCGATACGTAGTTCTGGTAGTTTATAATTGCAACATTGAACTGGTCTTTGAGTATTTCATTTATGGCTCTGCTGTGGCGAGTTTTGTGCTGATTTTGGCAGGGTTGACACCACCATGGAGTTCTTGGTTTTGTAGTAATTGGGTTGGAATGGGAATATACAATGCAGGTCGTCATTATAATTACGTAAAGGTAGCGTGAGACTGCCGCTTGGTTCACAGAATCTGCAAATAGTGGAAGACACTCATTAAACACTGGCAATCAACAAGTGGTCGAAATATGTAAGTGGTACGGTGGTGACACTCACGTTTGACGGAACCGGTGATAGAATAATACCACGAGAGTAAGTCGAGCATTTCCTGAATTACATTCGACATCGCGGGGTTTTAGACAGCATATTAAATTGAAGGCAACGCGGTGGTAAATTTGCAAGGCGCGTAAAGTATCGCGGTTGCGGGTAGACTGCGGCCAGAGCACCCGCATTGAGCTCTCTGAACCGACACATACCTCTAGACGGACACGTTATTTATGTTTCGGCTGGATCCGTGATCGTTATGATGTCCATCCTGGTAAGTGCGGCATCGTCGATCATCTTCGATGGTAAGTGATAACAGGTAAGAACAAAAGCGGTAACCTTTCACGAGTCGCCCACACAGAATTAAGAAAGCTTTCACTAAGTCGATGACTAATATTGACTAATTTCGATCAGTGATAAAACGCGATAAAGATCGGCGAGATGGCACCTTGCGCACCCAATTTAAATAATGACCTACCTTGTGATGTTAATTTGAAGAAAAATTCCATTTAAGTATATCCAAGACAAAATAGTATCACACGTTAGTTATAAAAACTCACTTCACCTGAATAATATTATCGTTAATCACTGGGAAACGCGCGTGTTATGCTCATTGACTCGTGCTTAATTATGTCGCGGTTCTACTATCATGTTCTTATTTATACACAGTGATTGGAAGGGTGGGGACGATTCATTGATATCTACGTCAATCTAGTTACAAAAAAAGTTTGCGTTAAAGATAATGCGCCGGCAGAAGCTCTGCCCGCCCCATATGTGAAATTCCCGCAAAGTAGTTAAGGTAACCAATCATTTACGAATTCCATCGCACGTAACGGTGTTCTCTCCTAGTACAATTTTGCCAAATAAACATCTTATTCATAACGGCGATAAGCGTAACTTTGATAGATAACTTAAACAAAACTTCTATTAAGATAAGTAACTGCAGTAAAATGTTTGAGATAGGTAGTAGGTAGGTACTTTTTGATTGTTAGGGAAGGTGTGTTTATCGGTTACGTCACATTGCGTCATTGACACGGCATGCTTCAGCTGTTTACAGAAATCGCGTCACTTGAGAAGGTTTTTATTTAAAGTTTGTATATACAATGCAATTGTATCAACATTAAGCTTTTTAGATAGCTCCGCCCGCGGAATTCGGAGGCGCGAATGATTGATAGAGAAAGATGTAGAGCTCTTGATTTCACCTGACTAGTCATTTCTAAAAATAGAATTACAATAGTGGCGTTGGAGATGAAATCATGTATTAACTGTAGGTCAAGACGGCTGGACCGCTGACGCTCCAATCCGGATATTGACTTCAAATTTCTTTCAGGTGTTACGAATTTCCGCACCGGAGTTTCCTGTGACTGGCGGCCAGGCGTCGTCGCCGCGGCGCCATTCCTAGTCATCCTCTGCAATATAAGGTTTCTTACTCAACTAAAATTTCTCAGTTTATGAAAAAACGTATTATGTATGCTTCATACCTCGACACACCCTTTACGTTATTCTCATCGGTTCGCACATCTCAAGTAAACATAGAAAGTTTCCGATTTGCACGATTTGATTATGGCTTATGGGTAAATTTGCTGGTGTCACATTACCAAAAACCTTTGTATTGCGGCAACGAAATGGTACCTAATAATATTCCCAGTAGAAAATTTAGGTGATTCATATTATCAAAACGATTACTTAATGATTGTGGTTCTCACTTCTCAGTTTTGTATATACCTACCTACCTACATAATAATATTTTCAGATTAACTAATAGATATTATCTGGATTCAAGAGTCCTTGATATTATACGAAAATTGTCGCATATCTGACATTGACTAAGGGAAGTATGAGAGGTGCCTACCCATACCTATACCGATTTTTGGTTTTTTTAATGACTCGATTGTCTTAGAACTGAATTAATTCAATGCCTCACGTCATATCCGTATATCTTTCTGCACAAAGTCATAGAAGATAGTAATTTATTTATTTATCACGAGACTTCTATACAAGTTAATGTGATCCGAGATGTGATCCAAAAAATCACGAATCCATAACACGCTTCAATAAGTGGCGTGGAAATTGTTTGACCAAAATTGTTTGAGATGATTACCTAACTACTCAGAGGTAGCTGATTTAAGGCCGATTCTCACTTTCGTGCAAAGAACCGGCCCGGCAACGGCACGGCACATACTCGGCACGGGCAAAGTTTTTTGAGTTCAATTCACACTGCGACACGCTTGCCGCAGGTAAGCAGTTTCTACGTGAGTTTCAACTGTAAAAATGTTCGAAACTTTGACGTTAATTAAAATTGGTCTAATATTAGATGATGAAGAACAAGAAAGTACATATTGCAGAAAAAGAAAAATACGTTTTTGTGTACATAAAATGCATAAGAAGTATCTTTTATGACCGAAATCATTTTCCTGGACACCCTTCAATCAGCATCTCATCTTGTTCCGCTGAAAAAGTGTTCCTTTGCTGACCCTTCAACCTTTCTTGTACTATGAAAAATGAACTAAAGTCGGTGACCTGCACAGATTGTATTCACACTTGTCGGAACGTGCACGGTACATCCCGGCAAATATTGTTTCGGAAGAACGCTGCGTGCAAAGGCCGTAGCTTGCCGAGTCGTTGCTCGCATAGTGTGAATTACACCCCAAAAAATTCATACGATTCAATAATATAGATATTTTGCCGAGTCGGTGCCTTGCCTGTGCCGAGTACGTGCCTTGCACGAAAGTGAGAATCGACCTTTATTGGTTTTCGAGTCTAACAGTAACAGTTGCTTTGAGGTGTTGTGTCCAGTGTCCTCAACAGCCTCATCCAGTGATATTCATGTAGAAGTAGAGATAGGGATTTCCTATCCTACTTTCAAATGATAAAAAAGTCTTCTGAAAGACGCCTAATTTTATGCAACCAAAATAACTTCTTGAAACAAATAAATATCCAGCTGTCATATTAATTTGAATATGGTTGCTTTGGCTTCACAGAAAATGTTACCGGCACTATACCAATTGGAAATATCAACTTTTCCTTTAGTTGAATACATCGCACACGAACGAAAATTAGAATACGGAAGTCAAAGCGATAATATTCAAATTAATTAATATGACAGGCAGATCTTCATTTGTTGTAGGTTGTTATTTTGGTTGCATAAAGATAAGGTGTCCTTCAGAGGACTTTTTATCATCTAAAAGTAGACATAAGAAATCCCTATGTCTGTTTCTACATGAATATACTGTACAGAGTTGTGTTCGGTGTATTTTTGTTCTAACTCGCATCGATGTTGACTTTTTCAAAGAATTATCCATATGGTACTCTAATGAAAGGTCTCAACGAAAGGGATTAATTTCTACCATCCATAGCCCTCCTCCTCGACCTCTTATCGTGATCGGGTATATTCCCTTATACCTCAAGAACGGATTGTCGGAAGAGGGTACTCACAAAGGGCGATTGAGACGTCTGCAAGAAATATCCATTGGTGATGTGAAAACAAAAGCTATTTCGGTTAAAAAAATGCTCTTTATATTTATACTTGTTTATCACGTTACCAAGTATTACCAATTTTTATTTCTAAAATTAGGAAAAATTTACACAAGTGAAACACCTGCAACCTTTATCATCTCACAATGTTTTATCATTTTAAAAATGAAATAAAAGCAATAAGTAACTTGTCATTTTAATCTAATAATGGCCTAAGTTCAATTTAATTCAACAAATCCATAGCGTAATCAGGTTTTCACAATAAACAAAATAATTACGCAAAATGCAATGCAGCATACACTAAAAATATAGGGTATCTATAAAAGAACTCCGGGGTTTTAAGACAAAATATTTTAATACAGTAAAAAACGTACATACATGTTTTATACATGATTAGAAAGCTTACATTTTCAAGATTTTTTAACAACTTAGTAAAGTTCAATGTGAGCTCCGTTAGTTAGTTAGTCCAGACGACACTGACTGCCTGCCGCAGCCGTTACGTCATTTCACGGTCAACGCTCCGCAGCGCTGCCAACTGTTGAGAGAAACATTCCCAATTCGTATGAGTAAAACTCTTTGAGCTGCTTGTTTCAAAGGAATTGATCAAATTTTGCTATCTTTTATAGTTTAAAAAATATTAATTTTTTAAACCCCGGAGTTCTTTTATAGACTCCCTGTATTATAAACTTCATTTGTACGAGTGCATATATTTTTTAAAGCTAACAGATACTATCTTTTTACCACCTGTCCGTTAGTAAGGGAGGTAAATTGCATTGGGTAAAAAATGACCCCCGATTTTTTTTACGGAAATGCACGTTCTGAAGCATCAGGAATTCGAACCAAACAAACTCTCGATGATCTCTCTCTGTCGGTCTGTACTCTCATTTCCGTCTTTCGGCTCATGGGCAAGTGTGCGGGTAGTATCTGTGCTATCTACAGCAAATTTTAAGAATTCAAAAATTGGTTTTCTCTTTCATGGTACCGTAACTAAAAGTCTCAACGAAAGGAACTGTTTTCTATACCAATAACCGCTCGAAACAAGTCACTACTCACTAGCGATGTGATTTTGGAGAATTTCTCTAAGGGCTTGCACTATACAATAGCGTAGATTTTGAATGTATGCCAGGCGGCATTACTCATCTAGCAAGTATGTAAACATCAATAAATATATAACTCTCGCCAGGAAAGATTGCCGGTCACAGCACACCTAGTGTCGATTTACAAACTATGTTTTTCTTAAGATGCGAGCGACTTCCGGAATAGGATCGTGCCAATGTTGAACGAAAAGTCTTTTTGTTCAACATTGACACAATGCTATCCCGGAAGTCGCTCACATCTTTAGAAAAACATAGATTGTAGACCGGGATCAAGTGTTCTATGACCGGCAATCTTTCCTGGCGAGAAGTTTAGCATGCTACTACCTTATAACCTAATAATTTACCGAGCTATATGGGTTTAAAAAATGCGCTTTGTTTTCACAAGATTTGTGCACAATTTATACTTTAATTTTAATATCCAATCCAATCACATTCTTTGACGGTCATTTCACATGAATAGTCTGTCTTCTTGCTGGAAGGAAGATTAATTAATAACAGCAACTTCTTATGTCAAATCTTATTCCTTACAACAAATTATTTTAATCGTGCTAAACAAATTTTCTATTTTCCAAGAAATTTTTCCGATAGGTATGCCCAACAAATTCGTAAAAATTAGTGGACCACTACTTCATACAAATAAAAAATTAAAAGTAACTTAAAGGTCTTGATGTGGATGAGATTCC